TTACGAGGCTCTCGCCTTCTCTCTGTTTACACACACATTTTTCTGCTTTTTTTTTTTCCGTTTTTCCCAAGCAAAGTCGGTTCCTTCCGCTCTCCACGTCAGAGAGAAAGTTCAGCTCAAATCCAGACCAAATCTCACCAGACGGGTTTGTGTCAGTTTTGTGTTTTAGGCATGAATTCAGAGGGTTTAAATGTGTGTTTTTGGGCCAGTGTTTTTGTTAAAGTGGCGTTTTTTTTCTCTTTTTACGTCTCATTTCCACAGTGGCCGATGACTCGAGTCACCCGTCTGTGACTGGAAAACTTCTTGGCTGTTTTATTCCTTAAATTTAAGAACACAAACCCGGACTTCTCAATATAAGACTGGCAGGAATGTGAGGATTACAGTTTTCAACCTTGTTATTTTATTATAATATTGGTATGTTAAGATACTTGTGCGTATTACACGCATATATTTCATATTATGTTCATATTATGTTTTTTCTTTCCTTTTTTTCCCTTTCTTCATCATCCAGGAGCACCTTTTATTTTTACTTTAATTGTCTGACCGAGTGTTGTAAGCTTTTACTTTCTGCCTATTATACCATGCAAGCTTTGTACCGTATTTGTTTGATTAAATAACAAAATAAAAGAACACAAACCCGTTTGGCTTTACTGAAAACAGCAGCCTGGAGCTTTATGGCCCAGACTCGTCCAACACGGTCAGGGCAAAATCATTTCCTAACTTGCTTCACCCATTTTTAACTCAAGCCTTTCCAGCTATTGACGAAACCCTGTTTCTTAATATTTCCAATAGTTATTGTTAAGGGTTTTGGCTATTCTGGCCACCAGGGGACACCTGTCTGTCATGTGGTCTGGCTCCGCCCCCTCATTGTGTTTCCCTCCTTGTTGTCTATTGCGCAATTATTCTGTGTGTTTAAGCTCTGGGTTTGGTTTGTTAGTCTTTGTCTTGTGTCCATGTCCCTGGCGAGCTATTTTTGTGTATTTTTTGTGATACTTTGTTTTGAGATGTTAATGCCCCATTCCTATTGGCATTTTGCGTTTAGTTTTACCAAACATTTTTTGTTCAACTTTTGGAGCGCTTGTATTTTTTATTTCTCAAAAGCCCCGAGACCTTTTGTGAGCCATCCAAGTTAGTTTTTTGTTTGGAGAAGATAAAAGGAGACTTTGGACTCTAATATTAGTTATTCAAACCGGTACTTCTAATGTTTAATAAAGTCAGACCACAGCTGAGTGAAAGAGGATAAAACCTGGTCACTTTTGGACTGAATCCTCAAACTCCCATGATCCTCTGCTCCAGTGAAGATCTGGACCACCGTTCACCAACTGCCTGCAACATCTAAAGCATTTTAAAGCAAGTTTTTGAATACTAATGAGGCTTAAACACACTGGAGACACAGAGCAAATGTAAGAGGACGTCTCTGTATGTCAAAGACATTTAAAAAACTCGACCGTGTGGCTTTAAACTGGACTCCAAGGCACATATTTATAAATTTAGAGGCCCTGAAAGCAACACTTATGTCCCTAAATGTTAAATGGATAAACTACAAGGGAACAAAAACTGGATCTTTGAGGGAAGCACCCCAGAGACGAGTGTCTGGACCCCTTCAGGTGCAATTAGGTGCTTTATTTTCTGAGTTAAGAACCATTGATTCGGTTCAATACCGGCTAATTCTGGAGGAAAACGTTTGACAAAAGGCTGATAATGACATGCTGGATGACCTCTACAACAGGATAATGATTGTAAACACAGATCAATATCTGCCTGGGATTACCCCAAAGGCCTCAGCTCAAGGTTTTGTCTCAGTCCTCAACTTCTTTGAGGCGATCCCTTTTAGAAATGAGGTCCGGTAACAAAAGAGTCCAAACTTTCTTGATGTATAACCCTTTAAAGCCTGATCCAAGATAAATTAGAAGAATATTGTATTTTTTTAGTCTGAAGTCTTTCTTTGGCCCCTCAACAACATATGAAGAAAAAAAAACTGAAATTATTTTGATCAAATTAGCGTGCAATAAGTGAAACATATATTTTGGTGTAGTCTTCTACTGGCTGTTATCAGGTATATCTGAATGTGTACAACAGGGGTTTGAGCAAAGCTTTTACCACTGAATGATGCAAAAAGTCTCAGATCCAAAAGACTTCACAAACCGTATCAAATATGATACATTTGGCATTATAGGGATAAAGTGAGTCAGGGTTGCGTCCAACCATTGAAAAACCAACTCAATAATCACCTCTTGCCCTCTTCCCTACATCCTGTCCATCCCCAAAACTCATAAAACCCCCCAAAGATCTGAACCCGCCTCCACTAACAGAGCGTTTTTGTTCTCTAACTTGCGCTCTGGCTAATTTAGAATGCAGTTCACCACTTTTATTTTATCTATTTTCCCCCATGTTCGGATCCTCTCCTGAGACTCCGCCCTTAATCTGAATAGATTAAAGGGAAGGCTGATGAATGCTGACATGGAGGAAAACTCTTATTAAGGGCAGAGAACCGCACGACTTTGGTCGAGGAACATAACGGATTAGCGCAATATGCCGAGCCGTTAGCAGCTCCTTTAAGTGTCTGATAATCATATTTTTATCTTTATTTGGCCGGGAAGGTGTGCTGAACAAGCAAGCTCTTTTTTAATTACAAGCAGGCACATCTGGGAGGCCCGGCTTTTTGCTGATAACCACTAAGAGGACCTCAGACGGGACTTTGGATAGAAAGAGGTCGTAAATAGCGCTGTGTGCTGCAGTTCGGAGTCTGGGTCCATGTTTTCCACATCTGTTTGGCTGCATCGCACATCTGGAGGCCCTTAGCAGGTTGATGAAGTCACTAATGCCGTGTTGTGTTTGGGTTGGAGGGATTCTCTGGGTTTTGTGTTGGCTAATTTGGTTTTTCTTGTTCAGTAACTTTGGTTTACGCCCTCTTCCCACACTTCATATTCGGTCTTAATTTTGAATAAAAGAAGATTTAATTGAATTACAATTCAATCTGAAATAAATTGAGATGTAATTTCATTGTACACACGAACAGAAACAAACTCAATATGAATAACACACAAACATCCTGTATATTATGGGATGTTTCTGCCTATAAAGTGTGCTTAAAAGTAGCCAAATGAGTCCATATACGTGCAATCAGATGGTTATTTTAGTAAAATAAGATGTAATTTCATTGTACACATGAACAGAACAAAACTAAATATGACTAACACACAAAAATCCTGTTTATTATGGGATGTTTCAGCCTATAAAGTGTGCTTACAAGTAGCCAAATGAGTCCATAAACGTGCAATCAGATGGTTATTTGAACGATTATCAACTGTGTCTTTGAGCCAATTCAAGAAACGACGCGAATACCATGTTCCAAAGTTTTCTAAAACCTCAATCCTCCTGATTGTGGTTCGATTGTGACACGTTCATCTCCAAAATAACCCGGATAAGAGCGAAAAACTGAGAAAACAAAATTCGGATTCGTGACCATTTTTTCGCTCACATTTGGGTCACCGGTGAATCTTGTTTTTTTTTCGCCGACTCACTCCAGACCAGACCCACATGCCACCGTGAGTTTTTCTCTCACGTTCCTCCTCTTCCTCCTCCTCCTCCTCCTCCTCCTCCTCCCCCCCGTGCGCGCGCGTCTGGAGCGCACGGAGGGCGCGCGGGGTGTCAGTTTTGCTCCAGCCCTCCTCCGTGTCGGTACGGCTCTTTTGCAGCGGCATCTCGGGGAAAAAGCAGGAATCCGAGGGAGTGGAAATTCCTCTGTTACTTTTTTGGCCTCATTTTTCTTTACATTTCTCTGATTTTTGTGACATATATCTGGTGTCTGAGAACGCGGAGCTCTAACCCTCCAAAAAAACGCGGAGCAGAGCAGAGATCCGTACAGCGGCGCGCAAATGGTTTTCACTGACTACCGAATTACGAATTACTAGTGGTTTCTCCCCCCTCCTCCTCCTCCTCCTCTTCCTCCCCTCTTTTCCTCTTTCCTCGTTCTCCGTTTGGAAGTATACAGTAGCCTATACGTGCATCGTCTCGCGCTGCGTCTATCTGAAGTCAGAAGTCTGAGCACACGCGTTCCGCTGTCACTTTTGGGTGAATTTCGGATTTTCTCCCCGGACTTATTCTCTCCTCCTCCGTGCACGTTTGGATTTTTCTGGCTCTCCGGGAGATGAGATGACAACTCTCCGGTGCTGAATGCTCCGCAGGATGCCGGGGACCCTCCGACCACCGGATCTCTCACTTTGAGACACAAGAAAAATCGCCTCGTTCTTTCATCCTCTGGCTGGACGTAAAACTCATCGGAGAGGCTTCTCTACCTCTTTGTTTCTCCTTTTTTTTTAATGATTTGATTCCGTTCGATACAGTCCCCGTGCCATTTGATAAGGATGCGTAGTGGATTGCTATTGTTCCTTACCCAAGTCGTCTTGGTGTCTTCTTTGACTCCGACCGGTAGGTGTTGACTGTTTTTCTGGGTTTTCTACGGCTTGACAGCGTGCAGGGTGGCTGAATATTGATCACTTTTGCACCATTGTTGCCTCTCACCTGTTATTCTGCGTCTGCAGGGGGTCAGCTAATCGATGTAAAACGCGCAGGAAGGCAGTTTGTTATTCACTTATATATTTGAAATGAAGGTTACGGGGGGGGGGGGGGGGGGGTGCAGCATCAACTGTAGCGCAGTCTGAAAAACACTCCGTGGCTCAGATTTTCCTCATTAAATTAAGAATAAACGTGTCTCTGTGCTTTTTATCCAGCCCGAAACGCTTTATTTTTTATTTTGGCGCTTTTTACGCACGTTGCCATTGAAACACGATCACCATCTCCAGGGCAACGAGCAATTTAAATAAACCATTCACTGAGAAAAATTCAATTTAATCACGCCGGCTGCGCGCGTGTGTGTGTGTGTGTGTGTGGGGGGGGGCTCACCTCACCCTCACGCGCGCGATCTCACCTTATGGCGCAGAAGCGGAGCGCAGGTTTCCCCCAAAAATAACCCGCAAAGTTTCTGCGCCTCCGGAGGGATGAGAGCGCGTGAGTTCAGGGGCTCAGGTGCGTGCTTTGGGTCTCTCACGCACGGCGCGTGCGCGACTCTGGGGGCTGCGTAAAAAGCAGCTTTTACGCGCCACCGGTCACTCTCCGCTAAACAACTTTTTTGTCCAACTATTTTTTAATCAATCAATCAATCAATCAAGTTTATTTGTATAGCCCTTTACAATACCCAAATGGTACTCAAATTGCTTTACAACAAAGCCATAAAACAATACAAAAATCAAACAAAACATACAGAAACAACTAAAAATGCCGTAGTTATGTTATTGTATTGTATTTTATTTATTTTTTGTTTGTTGTGGTGCAGATAATTGTGGTGGGAACATAAAGATAGACGCCCCGGACTACCTGACGTCCCCGGGGTACCCCGCCACCTACCCCCCCTCCCAGCAGTGCGCGTGGGTGATCACGGCCCCGGAAGCGGGCCAGAAGATCCTCATCAACTTCAACCCGCATTTCGACCTGGAGGACAGAGAGTGCAAGTAAGTAAGAGTTCACTCCTCACCCTCTCGCCCTTTTTCCCCCCCCCCCCCCCCCTTTTTCTCTCTCTCTCTCTCTCCCCTATACCTCAATCCTGCCCGGATACAGAGGCACACCTCTGCCACCTATCGGTGAAGCGCGGGCACGTGTGAGGATGAGATATGGCACGCAGGGCGCAGGCAATAATTTCAGAGGAAATGGGTTTTGATAGGCTTTGTAATTCACACTTGATAAGACGGGAGGCTGACTTATGGCGCGTGTGTGTGTGTGTGTGTGTGTGTGTGTGTGTGTGTGTGTGTGTGTGTTGAAGGCACACAAAAAGATGATGTCTAAGTTTGATTCAGGCTTAAAAGAGAAAACGAGAATGTCCTTAAATAGTGAAGGCGCCTGTTTTGTGGATCTAAAATCCAGCATTTTTTGAGCATTTTTACCGAGAATATCGGGTTTCGACCCGTAAAAGATGATGTCTAAGTTTTATTTAGGCTTAAAAGAGAAAACGAGGATGTCCTTAAATGCGCCTGAAGGTTTTACAGCCCTCCAAAAACCTATGGAGCTCACTCCACTGATGGAGTTTGGTTTGTTCCTTTCAGGAATAGAGGGATTGTTTTTGTTTCTCATTTGTATTTGAATGTGTCACATAGTCAAATATTCATAGGGGGGATGCTGGTTGAGGCTTAAGAATGAGCTCTTTTTCTGTTTTTGTGTCTCTCTCCATGCTTGTTTACCCTCCTCATTTCTGGTCTTTACAAAGGAACGATTTGCTTTATGGTTTGAGCTTAAAACGATTAAACAGGAACAAGAATAAGTTGTTTTATTAAAGTTCCCTCTCTGGTGATGGAGGGTAAATACAGAAGATGTTTAAGACATAAGATAGTCGATTCTTGCAGGTAATCACAGCTTTTCGGGTCCAAAAGTAAGCCTAAGGATCCACGAGTGGTTTTTAAAAGAAAAAAGAACCTAAATGAATTTGCGTGGGGTATTCTTTACAAAGGAACGATTCGCTTTCTGGTTTGAGCTTAAAGAGATAAAACAGGAAAGAGAATCAGTTGTTTTTTTTTAAAGTTCCCTTTCTGGTGATGGAGGGTAAATACAGATTATGTTTAAGACATAAGATAGTCAATACCTGCAGGTAATCACAGCCTGTTGGATCCAAAAGTAAGCCTGAGGATAGAGTGGTTTCCTAAAAAAATTTTTTTTTTTTTTTTTTTGTTCAGCATTATGATACTAATGAACTGAAATCTGCGTACCATGCTATGCTGAGCAAAATTGCTTTGCCAAGGGAGGCTTTGTTAGTGAGAAGCCCCCCCTTGATTACCCAAAACTTCTTTATCTATTCATTTTTGTTACCAAAATGATGTGTAAGTTTGATCTTTTACCAACTAAAAGAAATATGAACCTGAATTCATTCACGTGGGGTTATTTTTTAAACTGAAACTGAAATTTAAACGCTATGTTTGGGTCACTACTGCTGCTTGCTGCCCTGTTTTGCATGACTGTGCAAAAAAAACCTGAAAACAAGGCCCCACACAGAGAAACACACAGCATCTCTGTCCCCACCATGGCAGGCGAACACACTCCTGATTGTGTGCATCCACACAACATGGCCCATGTGTTTTTATGGCGGCTCCTTTGTCCTTTTTTTTTTCTTCTCCCCCCTTTTTTTTTAAAGCTCCATAATCGTCCGGTGCGTAAATCAGGGGCTGCTGGCCCGCAGATGGGAGTTCTCCAATACTATCGGATCATGTTTCACCACCAGGGGACTAATAAACCATTAGAGCCCGGGACATAAAGTGGATATCGTGTGTCTTTTTAGTGGATTACGACCTCTTTTTTGCCGTGTTGCAGGCAAACATGGAGGCAGGCCGCTCCTTCCATTGTTCGTGGATGGTTGATCGTTTTTTTTGTTTTTTTTTGCGATAACCCGGGGAGAAGTGTAAACGTGGAGTGATGCTGTTTTAGGACTTAATGAAACGTGATAAATCCAGGTGATAAAAACCGGGAGCTGGTTTGTTTAGACTTAAAATCTAGGGTTTTTTAAGCGTTTTTACCGAGAATGTCTGGTTTCGACTTGCAAAAGATGATTTCTAAGTTTGATTTAGGCTTAAAACAGAAAACGAGAATGTCCTTAAATGGTGAAGGTGCCTGTTTTGTGGCCTAAAATCCAGCGTTTTTTTAGCGTTTTTACCAAAAATGTCTGGTTTCGACCTGCAAAAGATCATGTCTAAGTTTGATTTAGGCTTAAAACAGAAAACGAGAATGTCCTTAAATGGTGAAGGTACCTGTTTTGTGGCCTAAAATCCAGCGTTTTTTTACATTTTTACGGAGAATGTCTGGTTTCGACCCGCCAAAGATGATGTGTACGTTTTATTTAGGCTTAAAAATGAAAACGACAATGTCTTTAAATGGTGAAAGTGCCTGTTTTGTGGACCTAAAATCCAGCGTTTTTCTGTAACTTCTTTGCTTCAGTTTGAAGAGAATCAGAATCAGAATAAGATTTATTGCCAAGTAGGTTTTTAGACTTACAAGGAATTTGCCTTGGTGTTTGGTGCACAACACAACACTTCTATGAGAAGCAAGAAATAAAAATAAAAAGTAGAAATAAAAATATAGGACAGTAGTTTGCTGTAGTTTGCCCACAGATGTGGCGTTTAGGGACTCCTAAATGACCCCTCCATAGGTTTGCTATAAGGCAAACGGTCAGGCTTTTATCTGGGAAAGTCTCGGGCTCGTCCTGCTCAACAAGTGGCCGGGTCTCCGCTTTTTCTCGATTGGTTGGGTCGTTTGTTGTGTGAGTCTGTGTTGGGTGAAGACTGGAGCTGGAGCTCAGCGTTTGGAGACTTGGCAGCAGCCGTGTTGCTTTTGGGAACGAGTCAAACGCTCGAAATATGCCCGTCGAGGGAGGCCTTAAGCCTTTTTTGGCGAGACCGCCGCCCCACTTACAGATTTCCCGGGACGGAGTTTTGAAGGAGGCTCTGAAAGCCGACTGACTCTCAGGTTTAGCTGCAGGTTTGAGCAGTTTTCTGGTGGAAAACTGACCTGAGACCACTCAGATGATGCATGAAGCTGGTAATGAGGGCTCTAAAGTATTTTGGATTGATCCTTTTTGGAGCGTTTTTACCGAGAATGTCTGGTTTCGACCTGCAAAAGATGATGTCTAAGTTTGATTCAGGCTTAAAAGAGAAAACAAGAATGTCCTTAAATGGTGAAGGCGCCTGTTTTGTGGAGCTAAACTGCCAACAATCAGAGGAAGTGCAGGAAATCCTCACGTTTGAGAAGCTGGAACCAGAAATGTTTGGCATTTCGGTCCATTCCCAAGTCCAGTTAAAGGATAGAGAGACTCACACTTTACGAGAAAACAGTTTCAGGTGTGTTTTGGCAACAGTAAAGTCAGTTTTGAGTCCTCATAGATGGGGACGTTCTGAGGAAAAACTCCAGTCGGTGGGATTTATGTTTCTCCAAGGCTGTGCAACCCCATTAATTAGAGTCCTCCTGTAATTGAAATCCATTGTCGGAAACACAGCCCCGCCCCCTTTATCATTAAGCGCCCAGTTCTCCCAGTCCCATAATGAAATTACTGGGCCGAAACGGAGCAAACGTCCCCGCCTGCTGTGAAACATGTCTGCGCTTTGAGAACCAAACAGAAAAAAAAAAATAAATAAGCAATGCACCCACAGATAAACGACATGTGTAACCGATTTCTCTCCCGTACGGCCTCGGGACCCGGGCTTTATAATTATACTCCTTAATTATAACATTTTTAAAATAGATTTCAGCCAGGAAGCTTTCATTTATTTATTTTTTTAAGATAAAGGAGGGGCGGGTTCATGGAGAAGAAGAATGTAAAGGAGGGTACTTCAGCTATATCAGTTTTGAGGCCTTTTAGTGCCCAAAAAAAAAAGTTTAGTGGGCTAATCTTATCAGAGAAACAGCCCAAAAAAGGCTTATGGTTTAAACCAGTGTTTTTCAACCTTTTTTGACCCAAGGTACAGTTTTTCATTGAAAAAATCTCGAGGCACACCACAGACCAAAAATGTCAAACAAATCTGTAGCTGCCTATAGTTACACTATAGTTATTCCTATTTTATTCCTATCTTATCTTAAGTGTCTTGAATAGGAATCAAATAAACACAAAAATAGATTTTTATCATATTTTACATTTCTTCTTTCAAATTGAACTTAACATGTCCACTTCAATATGCAAAATTAAATACAAAATCTAGTCATAAGGAATTATTACATGATTACGCCACCAGTCACTAGAACAGCACAGACACTAAAAAATGGCACACTATTTACAGAAAATTAATTCCTTATCAAACTTTTTTTTAGACTAATTAGGTGAAATAGGATGATTTTCTACGGCACACTAGTGCACTGTTTTTCAACCACTGGTCCTCGGTACACTAGTGTGCCGTGAGTGATGGTCAGGTGTGCCGTAGAAAATCATCCTATTTCACTTAATTGGTCTAAAAGATTTTTTGATAAGGAATTAATTATCTGCAAATAATATGCCATTTTTGATTGTCTGTGCTTAACTAGTGACTGGTGGAGTAATCATGTAATAGTTCCTTATGACTAGATTTTGTATATAATTTTGCCTATTGAAGTGGACATGTTAAGTGCAATTTGAAAGAAGAAATATAAAATATGATAGAAATAAATTTTTGTGTTTATTTGATTCCTATTCAAGACACTTAAGATAAGATAAGAATAACTATAGTGTTACCATAGGCGGCAGATTTGTTTAACATTTTTGGTTGGTGGTGTGCCTCGTGATTTTTTCAATGAAAAAATGTACCTTGGCTCAAAAAAGGTTGAAAAACACTGCACTAGTGTACCGAGGCACAGTGGTTGAAAAACACTGGTTTAAACAATAACAATCCACTGAGGTTAAATGGACTAATCTGTGGTTCTCAGGGCTATCTAAGGCCCCTGGAAAACCAAGTCTGGCTGATTATTCCAGCCCAAACCTTTCAGATCAGACACTTTGCCTCCAACACGTTTGGATCCTGTTTATCTGGAGCCTCACCAGAACGAGTCTGCTCTCACGTCCAGGCCCAAAAATAGCCGGCCGTGCGAATCCCTGCAGAGGGAGGAGGAGAAATAAAGCGGAGGCATGTGCCGGATAATTCGAGACGTCTTCTGAGGAGCTTCTTCCTACACCAGCCTGGACTTCACACACAGGCAGCCCAAACTTTCTGTCACGTACAGTTTCTCCACTTTAACTCATTGACTGCCAGCCATTTTCAGAACAGAGAGTCCCATACTGCCAGAGTTTTTTTTGAGCATTTTGACTGATTTTTCAAGAGCCACAGAATAGTTTGTGCTATGACTATGTAAACACCGAACACACCAAAAGAAAGAGTAGACTCTCTTCTTTCATCAGGACAAAGAAATTTGTTTCTCCTTATTCCGTTCTTCCTCGACTTGCGTCTCTACGGCGCCATTTTTCGCATAGCGAACCATTGCGTTTTTTTTATTTGCCTACAGTCTATGCTCATCTCCCATCAAAAGTGGCACTGCCCCTTAGAGGGTCAATTTGTTACTACATACTCTGTCTAGAAGCCGATATTTACGGACAAGCTTTAGCAGATCGTCCCCCAAGCCACTCTCGTTGAAAAACATAAAAGACGTCTATAGACGTCTTTGGCAGCCAATGAGTTAATAGAGACATCCATCCATTATGGTAACTGCTTATTCCCTAATGGGGCGGAGTCTATCCCAGTAGCCAATGGGGAGAGGCGGGGTCACCCTGGACCGTCCCCAGTCCATCACAGGGACACACAGAGACACACAAGGACCAACAACCACACGCACTCACACTAAGGGCAGTTTGGAGTCCAACCAACCTAACATGCAGGTTTTTGGACGGTGGGAGGAAGCCGGAGAACCCGGAGAGAACCCACAGACACAGGAGAACATGCAGACTCCACCCAGAAAGGTCCTGGTTCCCCCTGGACTCCAACCCAGAACCCTCTGGCTGTGAGGCCATAATGCTAACCACCACACCACCATCCCGCCCCTTTAATAGAGAAATTTTAGCGAAAATCCACCCTTTCCATCTCATTTAGAGAGCAAATATTAGAACGATAGGTGCCATTTTTAGTTCAGTGCAATCGTTTTTGTGCTAAAACTGAACTGAAAACCAATTATGTTGGACAAACATGAGACATTTCAGAGGAATAAGGTGACACTCTTAATGTTTGTTCATACAAACAAGGAGCTAATGAATATTTATTAGAGGTGGGCCTCCTCCACAGGATTACCTTCAGAGTCGGAGAGCGCTGGAGCTTATCTGAGGGCTTACAGCTCGATGCCGGTTTGTCCTCCTGTCTCTGGTGCATTGATTCCTTCCTCCATCGGGGGCTTGATTTGACCTTTTGCTAAGCAAAACAAACCAGTCTGGACTCTGCAGCTTTTTTAGGTTGCTACCTTTTGAGGGAACCCAGCAACCAGGGATTCAAACCCAAAGGAAAGAGGACTTTCTCAGACCTTCTCAAACCTTCTCAAACCTTCTCCGACCTCCTGAATCAGCCTGGTTCTAGTTTTTAAGTTTATTTTTCTTATTCTTGATGTTCTTAACGAACTGGAAGCTAAGTGGAAAGCCGACCGGTTTTCCATCAGGTTTAGTAGTAGGAGTCGGTAAAGGGCAGCTGCTAGCCTCAGGATACCCGGTTAGCAAGACTCTGAGAGGTGAAAAGAGGAAGGAAAACCAGAGGGAAACGCTATGAAATGTTCCAAACCGAGACACAGTCACACATCCCAAAAGTGTCACACGAGTGGAAAAAAACCCTCGACGTGGGAATTTGTGTTTTTAAATTTGTAATTTTAGGTTCTGTGTGTTTCCAGAGTTGATCTCGGTTGGCTGATTGAGATTTTTTCTGTGGCAGGTGTCCGATTTTGGCTGGGAAAGAGTGGACAGGGGGGCAAAAGCACAGCATTTAACTAAATATGAAAATGGAAAGGGTTCCCCAACCAAATGACAGAAAGCTTGCTGTCTGCAGACTGGCCTGATTTTTAATGGATTTACAGATCGGCCCCGGAACGATCGTGGCCGAATTACCAACGTTCAGGGCTCCAATCCGGGATGATGGACATGGGGGGGGGGGGGGGATTGATGGATGGGCAGATGGACGGGGGGTCGAACGGGTCGCTAAGTGGGCGGGTCTCGGGATGACAAGGTTAAGTGTCAGAACGGAGGCCGGACTAAATGAAATGATGGATGGATTGGTGTATTTCAGATGGAGAAATGATCTGATTAGCAGAGTGTTCTTTGATGAAAGGGCTGATTGAATGATAGCAGGATGAATGGAAGGATGGACAGGCTGAAAAAGACAGCTTAATTGATGAATGGATTATATCTACACTATATATTCTATCTACATATACATGTATACATTTTTTGTTTTCTTTTTATTTATATATATTTTTT